TTAAAACTTTTCTCACATCTACCACCTTCGCTATTCGAAATAGATTTCCTGTCAACGGATTATAATTGCAAATTAAGTGATTATGCTGTTTCAAGATGCAAGATGTTTCAAGATCAGTCTATAGCAGAAAAACTTATCACAAAATAAAGTACTCCCTTTTTTGTATTTTTTTTGGATAAACGACCGACAAAATCTGAGTAAATATTTAAAATGGATTCCTTGCAATGGTTTCGTTTCTCAGATTTATCTCCAATTGTTGAAGTACTTTCCTACAAAACATCCTATGCGCTAAAATTAAATTATTAAAACAAATTTTTTATTTTATTTATTATTATAGTCTTACATCAAATGGCATCATTTCTTGTATTCTAAAACTCTTAATGGAATATGGAATAAATTATAATAATATCAATTTTATGTATGTGTTAATATTATTGTATTGAAATAAACTTTATATACTTAGTGGAGTTTTTAAATGGTTACGCATATACGCAGCTATTCTTATACCGACAACACTGATGAGGACATACGTTTAATATTACTACTTTATGTGTTCGCAAACAGTTTAAGGGCAAATTTGGAGCACAAGTATGTTCACAAATAATTAACCCAGCGGGAAATTGTACATGTAAAGGTGAACATTTCTCATATTTTGCTGCAAAAACATTCAAAAAATTAATAGTTTAATATTTTAAAATTTATATGTATTTAAATATAGATAAAAAAATATAAACTAACTTAAATATGTTTAAAAAAAATTTTTTACACTCAGAAGAATTACATACTATAATTACCATTAATTGAACAAATACTGACTATGAGTAAAATCACTAAAATAAAATTAAATTTTAACATATTTTATACTACTGTTCGAATATTTTTCTTTTCTGCTCTTTAAGTGTTTAATTCTAAATCGAAACTGCTATTTATTCAAATATTGTTCACATTTATATAGATTTCTTTAAAGCCTTTGAAATTTTTTTAAGCAACATTTGCATTGTTTGGAGCTTTATTTGTAGTTATTATCTTTTCTGTACAAATTTTTGAGATTAAAAGCACGTTCAATACAATATTTTGCTGTTTGTAAATAACAATTGAAATAAAAATATACTTCCCTTTGACTAATTAGAATATATATTGCATAATAGTAGCACCTGCTCAACAATAATAATGTTATACTACGAAGAGTCTTTTTTCGTCACACTTAAACCTTACATTTCTACATTTTTAAAACTTATAGACAGTGGCGTCAAGATAAGAGTATTAAAAGGTGATATCCTATATAATCGCCGATATAGAAACAAATTCAGAGGGCGGAATCGATTTGCCAACAAAACAGTCTCATTTAGTTTTCCAATCATAGAAACATTGAAAAATCAGTAGGTTTCTTAGTGGTCCTACGAATGTCTTTATAGTGCTGCTGGTTTATTTTCCCCTGAAAATCAAATTTTCAGGCATCCATTTTCTAAATTATGTTATCGCTTATACCAAAAAAATAAAATTGAAAAAATTAGTTTGAATAAATTATTTAAATTTTAACTAATATATTCTTTTATAAGGCAAGAGTAAATATCTTATCTACTCGTAAAAAAAATGTGCTATAAAACTGTAATCTCTTTCATGAATAAAATATCTATAATGATTTGAAAATATATTTTTTATTTAATATTTACTCGCAATTTTAGTTAAATTATTTTAAATACATATTATTTTAAATACTTGTACTTTCATATCTGCTACACTTTTTTTTTGAAATCGTTTATGGCTTCAATGTCAGTTTTTGACGCCATCTAGTGTTTAATTTGTTTATACTAGTTGTTTCAATTGGTCAAAAATCGCTGCATAAAAAACTTGCATGAAATTTTTTCTCTTTTTAACAAAATTTCTCAACAGAGAATAGTATATCTTAAATTGATATCAGTATGTGTAAGAAATATAGAAGAAATTGTGTCTCCAGCCGTATGATAATAAAAGATAAACATCTTGTGATTGTTGTCTTTGATAGGTTTAGTGTGCAGCATTGACCAATATTCTCCTCATGTCCTTTAATACTGTTCATTTTTAAGAAAAATAATTTTTTACAAAGAATACGATATTTCAGTTTATATCTACTAAACATTTCTATAATCTATTCGTACACGTAACAGGTACAAGTTAATCTTCGTATAAGTATATATATTATTCAAAAGAATGACTGTATTTTAATTTAAATTTATTTTTATTTAATATACATACATATTACAGCATTAATATACGAGTATATATATATTCAGTCTATAATAAGTATTTATCTATTATGAGATAATTTAAACTCTTGGCGCAAATCTACAACCGGTTCCAGAACGGCAACAGTTTCGAGGACATACACCAATTTTCACTACCTTATGTACTCTTACACATCTTAGAGGTAAATTCTTAAGACATCTTTGTTCACAAACAGTTTGACCTTGCCTAGCGTTTATATATCTCGGCGCGCAAGGACCATATTGAGCTGCAAAAATGTGCAACCAATGCAAAAATTCATCAATTTAAATACAGGCATACATACATATAAAAATAAAAGTAATATTAAATAAAAATATAAGAAAATTAAGTTAATAAAATAATATTAAATAAAAATATTAAAAAATTTGATTTAAATCTTGTTCAAATTTAAAGTGAAAACATTGAAGAATTTACAATATTTGAGAATGTATTAAAAAATTATATATTTACCATTAATTAAGCCAATACCACAAATAACTAAAATTACAAAAATACAATTAAATTTGAACATTTTTTTACTTTAAATGCTGAGTTTTAAGTTGAAACTACAATTTATTCGCAGTTTTTTTCATTTTATATTCGATTTCGTAGTGCATTTAATATTTTAGTAAACAACTTTTTATATTGTTTGGAATTTTGTTTATTGGTAATATTTTTCTTTTAAATAACTTTTTTCCAGAACAGCATAATTTATTGTTATTTCCAAATGACAAAGATTTAAAAAGTATTTTTTTATTAAATTTTAAATTCTGTGCAGAATATCTGTTTAAGAGTAAAAACTTTTCAGTGCCAAAAACCTTTTTGTTTTTTATAGAAAAACAAAAATATAACATACGGTTCCTTATTTTTATTATCTCTACCAGGTAGAAGATAAATGTTTTTAAAGAAATAATTTAAAGAAGTTTCTAAATTAAATATTAAATAAAATATTTGTACTGTATTCAGAAACTTTAAATTATTTTAATATATATTCCCTTTTATGACCATTGCTATGAAAAATCGGAAAAAGCGCTGCATACCTGCATAATGCAACGTAGATTAAACATGGTAGGAAACTAGTAACTTGAGAAAAATTGCATATGGTTTTCAATCTTCCAAAATTTATTTAGGGAAACAATACGTTAACAGACCTCAGAGATACAACAATATCTTTGTAATAAGTTAACCTTAGCTATATATTTATCTTGCATTCCACTTGATTTAATAAGTGAACGCGTATTTCTAATAAGTGAATGGACCCAATAAGTAAACGCGTAACGTACAGTTAGACAGATCAAGTTTACCTACCTAATATTTATAGCATTTTATTAATTAGGTTATACATATTGAGTTCTCTCTAAATTTTCACATTTTACATATCACATAATTTCTTTATAAATCAAAATAAACCATATTATACCTTTTTCGTTGTAGTGCTCAAAATTAATTATAATTCAGATATCTACTTTGAAAATAAAATTTATCTACAAAAAAAATTTTTCCCCTTTTTATAAATTTTAAATACAATTGCATAGCAATGCGCCTTCAACGACAATGGTTCGACGAACACATTAGCTTTCTTCCTCTACGCCGGCAGGTATATGTTGTAATATTGCCATATTCAAACAGTGGTCTTCTTTGCACAGTTAAAACAATTTTTAAATCTTTGAATTTTTGATACTGCTTCATCTTGCGCCCTAGTACGGTAACAATTCTGCCCTGATTATATGATAGCCCTACAGTGTTATAATAATTTGCTGTACTCTGTTTCCAAACAATTTTCATACCTTCGTGATGTCCTAGATGAATAAGGTACGATAGGCAATGCGAAAATCTACAGCAAAGTAGTTCTATAGATAAAGTATACTGTAAAATGTAGAAGCTATAGTGAATTTATATGAAATTATTCCACATTTTTGAATTAAAGGTTTCTACTAAGCATGATCAAAATTTCTTAGTACTCTGACAATATGAATATTATAAAAACATGCAAACATATATTTTAGCAGGTATTTTGTAGATTATAGATCATTTATATATTAAATTATATAAGGCAAGCCTGAAAGATTTTTAATATATCGTTCTATACAAACCATCAAATTAATTTTGTTATTATTAAAGTTAAATAAATAATCTGGCTAACTTCTTATATATTGTAGTTATGCATTAATATAACCAGTCCATTTTTATAGGTCACTATTATCTGAACATCATTACTACGGACCATTATTTGTGCTCGAACAACCTATTAACCTAGTCAAAATAACCGTCCCTCCAACCTATTATCTGATGAGTAATGTTTTCTTCATATAAGTAAAAACTCAGAGATACATACAGAGACATAAAAATGTACATATTACTCTGTTTATAATAGAACAGTGTAGTTCCCTATTTACTTTTACTCTTTTCCTCCTCTTCTTTCAATATATATATACGTATTTAACAGATTTTCTGTTACTGTGTACTTTATTTTATTTATTTGTTTATTATTTATCATAAATGTGATTTTAAATCAAGACCACACCTTATTTCGAAAAAACACTTGCGAAATATTTATAAATATTAGCATCTGTAAAATATTTATATTTACTTAAACTATAAACTAGTTATTGCTCGAACGCGATGTTTATAAAAATTTTATTTTTATTCATATTTTACATAAATCTCAGTATGTTTTCAAATTCATAATAAAAGTGTACAAAACTTTTATATCCTTTTAATAAGGTTATAAAATTTCCATTTCATCTTATCAATAATTTCATGAAATACTACTCGCATATCTTAACAGGTTCATCTAAACGTCGTTGCTTAGGTGCAAATGAGTGTGATATTCATGCTGAACCAAGCTGTCGTCCTATTGGTGGTTGTGAACGCTTCTGTAAACGTGGTGCAGAATGCACCAGAGCAATTGATGATTGCTATTGCCGCAGTGGTTTTGCACGTAATGGAAATGGTCAATGCATACCAAAATTGGATTGTCCTAGAGGTAATGAAAAATGCACACTACTTCACTACTTCACTACTTCACTGCTCCTTGTTCCTTACCTTATCAATGGTCCTAATGATTGTATTCGTAGCTTGTGGCCAATTTGAATGCCATAACAGTAATCCAAGTTGTAGCTGTGAAATGTACTGCCGTAGGAGGCCAAACTGTATTGTTTCGCTGAGTGGCTGTCACTGTGCACGCGGATTTGCCAGAGACGATAACAACTTTTGTGTTCCACAAACAATGTGCCCTTGGTCAATTGGTAGACGACGCTTTCCCATAACAGCAAGAACAACAACAACAAAAATTGTCATTTAAATTTTATCTTATTTTGAACGTTTCATTGTAAATATTCAATGAGAACAGCTGCTTAAATAAAATATTTTTTTAAAGTCATATAAAAAGCTTGAATTGAATTTACAATATATATTTCATGTAAAATGTTTAAACTATTCGTTTTTGTACTGATATTTCAATGTGCGGATTATATTTCGGCGAGAGGTAAATGTACAGATTGTCTGCTTTTATTTAAAATTAATTGAAATTCAATTTTTAACCATTTAGCTAATTGTGATTCTAATGAGCGTTATTTTAATAAAACTAAATCACCAAGTTGTGATGTAAACTGTCAAGACTTAACGCGTTTATGTCACTTAACAACAATAGGTGCAGTACAAGGTTGCTATTGTCGTCCTGGCTTTGCACGTAACTTGCAACAGAAATGTATACCCGTGAGTAATTGCGGTAAGTTTAAGTTTAAAAACAATTCATATACATATATATAACAACTTCATTTGTGTTTGATTTCAGCAAAGGATTGTTTTCCAAACGAAAAACCAATATGGCCAAATAAAACAGATTGTGAATTAGTGTGTTCCTCAAAACAAAAACAGATATGTTATCAACGTATGGAGCGAAAATGTGTTTGTAGTACAGGATATTGTAGGAATCAACAAGCGGACTGCATTTTAATATAGAATATTTAATAAAAAAATAAAAAAAATTTAATCAAACATTTTACATTTTATTTTAATTTTTTACAAACACTACACATTACAATTTTTATATATCTTAATAGTGATTTTATTTTGTATATTGTCAACTTATATCGAATAGAAACTAAAAGGACTTTAGGTCCGCAGTAAAGCGGAGCACTGTGACAATTGTAGATGTTTTGTACAACCCACTATTAAATTATAATCCTTATATTACATTTAATGAATACAATATGTTTTTTATATATTCATTTCTATATGTTCTTAAGACACTATGCTTTTAATAATCGTCTACAGTCATTACCCAGGCGGCAGCAATTCATAGGACATAGTATAACTCTCGCTGATCTCACGGCACGTGCGCACCTCGTATATGCCCTTCCTCTAGGAGTCATGCACTGTTTTTCACACATGGTTTGTCCTTGTGTCACAAAAAATATTTGTTTTCTACAATTCCATTGTGCTATAAATATAAATATAATTAAATTAATTTATTTATCAAATTAAAAAAAAAATAGATTTGTTCAACTTAATAGAAATACTATTTATTTTGCTTTACCATTAATCATGCCAATGCTGAGTATGAAGAGAATCACGACAAGGAAATTATATTTGAACATTTTAAATTATATATAATTGTTTTTTAAAAAAAAGGCTTTTAAATGTTGTCCTCTAGATGCAACTTATGATTGCAGTGAAGTCAATGGTGTCCTAATCAAACCAGTAAACTTATGGCTTATATATACTAAAAGAAAATTATGCAGTTTAGCAAAAGAGTTTCAGTTTTTATGATATAATAATTAATTATTATAACCATAATTTTGAATAACAATAATTATATTTAAATATTTACACATAACATTAACCAACATTTCTTAAATGTAAATAAGCCACCAAACCTGTGTAATTCAGGTAAAATAATAAATTATGTATTATTTTATTTTTTAATTACAATTATAATAAAGCCGTTATTATATTTTTATATATTGTTTTTAAATTATAAAACAATCTGATAAATTTTAAGATCTGTTTTCTTTTTTAAATAAAATGTATTCTTCGAAAGTTTATACGCCAAGTTCATTTTAAAAAATTGAATCACAAATAAATAAAAAATTCAACTTCCTTATTAAAGTTCAACTTAATTTAATTATACTTTACGACACCGTCCTATGAATGGAAGGGGAGTCATATACAAATAATCCAAATACAAGTTCTACTGCGTTTATTTCCATATCGGTTATGATCCTTTTTTCTTTGCACGTTCATGCTTCTTTGGTTGCTTTTGATATCATTTTTTTTAGAGAACAAAAGGGTCAGAGAACTCAGTCAGCAGAACATTGGGAAAAAATTAGTGAACTTAATTCATTTCATATATTTTTATATCCAGCGATTTTTATATACATGCCATTCAGTTAGCAGAACATCATGGCAAAATCAGTGACCTTAAATAAATTTATTTCTCAATGCATACTACCACTCTATTATTATATCTTTTACATTCATATCCAATTCTAATGTGAAATCTTCTAATTTATCTCCAATAAGATTATATTAATGTCCAATAATAATATTTACTTTTTCATTTATTATATTAGGAAATCTCAATAATATTAACAAACACAACTGCAACTAAAATAGAGGAAAGAAAAACTATTTTTATTTATTTTGTAGATGTGCTGCTCTTAAGAAACATAGACTACCGTATATAAAACCATCTTCAATATTAACAAACTCAACAGTTTTCTGAACCTTACGAAAGCGTTCTAACAGTATTGCCTGCAGAAACATCTGAACAACCCACTGGCTATGAGAGTGTGGCAAGAAAACGGTGTAAAAGTACTAATTGCAGTCATGGATAGATACTACTTGAACTAACTCAACCATATGTATTTTAAACACACATAACACTCGTATATAAATCGTCCTAAAAACACATATATTGAGTTCTTACAATTAATCTATAATAATATTATATTATTATAGAGTTAATGTCATATTTAGATATTAACATTAAAGTTAAGGTCAAATAACATTTATTTTAACGGACGTTAAGAAAACAGGCTATTACTACCTCTACTAATTATTAATAAAAACAGTGTTATAGGCGTAGCCAGAAAACCAAGCAGAGTGTGAGGGAAAAGTAGTTGTGAAGAAACCATTTCTTTGATTGGAACTAATTATTATAAATTTGTTTGTGCATTTATAAATAATTTTCAAACATTATAATTTCCTAATTTTAGCTATACGAAATGTTTTACAGAACGCTAACTCAAATTTTAACATAGTAAGCAATATAACATATACTATATAAAACTAGGTTAATGAACTTCATTGGTATAATGTTCTGTATTAATAATACGATATCCAGAAAAAGTAATATACTCATATAGGTATAATGAACCACTTCACCTAAAGGTATTTTTTATTTAAAGAAATTAAAGACAAAATAAATATTCTTCTTTTGAAAGCTGTAATTCAGATAGTATGTCAAAAAGTCATTGTATCATTTAATGGAAATAAATAATAAAGAAAACAGAGCTTTAGCAAAAAATATAAAATAAATACAAATTTCAAAAGAATTTCGAGAACTTCCGGGATTAATAATTTTAATGTTTAGCTATAAAAACTGCACCATGCGACTTCAGAAACAACAAACACGAACGGGTAGTAAAAACTCTCAACCACAAATCTCAAGAATATCTTCAAGATGTCCAAATTCTCTGCAATTATCACTTTTGCTCTAATTATGTTTTGCGTCTTAGTCAATACTTGTAAGTATAATTTAACATTAGAAATCTTTTGAAAATATAAATTTTTTTAATATTTTTATTTTATAATATAGCTGGACAGGTATGTCACTCGCACCAAGGTGAAATTTTGGTCCAAAGAGGTCGTTGGTGTGAATGGCAGTGTTCGAGTTCACCTAGCCGTAAACCGATTTTGAGCTGCTCACAGGTTTGGAAACCACGTTGTATGTGCAGTCGTAGAAGAAATTTCTGTCGGAATGTACAAACAGACTGTTGTCAAAGGATGCGATCTTTTGCATAAAAGTTTTATTTATATAATATACTTAAATATAATTTTAACCTATATAGCCCTTATATTTAGTCATTAAGATAAAGATAATTTGAAACTGCAGTTATTTTATTTAAGCAAAAATCACATAAACTTTTAAATTTAAAAATCTAATTGTTTAAAATACTTAAATGATAATAAATTTAAATTTTGAAAATCATTTTACTAATACATCTTTTTAACGCGCTATACAAGCGATTGAAATTGGCTAGGATCTGAAATATCCTCAGCAGAGAAACACATACTGATATTTTCTGAGCTGCAAAAATCGAAGCTAAAATGTCACACTACAATTCATAGAGAAAAGAAATCTTACTGAACAAACCCAAGATTAAAGTGAAGTCTATCCGCTACTTAGACAAAAGAAGGAACTCTTCTGCGTAACATATATTACCAACCATTACCTCTTCTCTATAAAAACTTAAATCAATACTTTTGTACAAAAATTTGTAGTTAGAAATTCAATTGAAAAAATTGTAACTTCCTTTTCAATTTAATTATAATTAAAATTTGTTTAAAATGTTAATAATATATATATTGAGATCAGTCTTTACACTCATTGAACTCACTATGTTCCATATGTAGCATTCTTATCTCAAGTTTTATTATCAACTTTCCTATTTTAGTCTTTAATAAAAATATGTTCTTGTTTCTTGATGTTTTAAAAAATTTTTTATTTTTTATTTTGATATAATTAAAAACTTAATCAGTTGCATTTCTTTATAATACTGACAGTTATTAAAGTAAAATCAATATGAAAAGTGCCTATATTTTACTTTTCGGATTAATTCTATTTTGCTTGCTTACTATAGTAAAAGGTATTCGAATTCTTGCTTTATTTAATTATTATATAAATTTAGAATTAAATTTACAGCTGAATTAGGTAGCTGTGAAGTTGGAAAAAATGAAATTTTTTTATCTATGGGTCCAAAATGTGATCGTATTTGTGCAGCTTTAAAGAAACCTTGTAAGGAACATCAAGAGCGCCCAAAATCTGGCTGCTATTGTCGTGAAGGCTTTGCGAGAGACTTTGACAATATATGCATACCAGAGATACTTTGTGGTCGCTAATTAAAAAAATAAAATAAAATCAGTTATTGTCTGCATAAATTTTTAAAAAATTATGCCTTATTTTATTGAAATTAATTTGCATCAATTAAAATGATAATAAAATCAAAAAAAATGTTCTCATTTATAAAGAATATACATATATTGAAAATACCCTCCATGGTAAGCAATTTCTCCAATTTTTTTTAATAAAAATGATGAAAATCTAAACATTTCTACTTTTATTTTAATATTTTAAAATGTTTAGATTGGATATCTTGAATTTCAACATAGTTTTTCACGATTTTGTAAGTTTAAGTCCAACTTTAGAAAAAGAATCTTAAGCTTATAAAATTAAATAAAACTAAAAAATTACGTCTGAAATTAAGTCTATAATTTATAAACAAGTCAATAAATATAAGTCTTATAAAAAGACTTGATATCAAAAACGTATCAAATTGGAAATATATAATAAATTAGGGGTATTCACTCTCTCTTGCAAACTCATTGCAAGGTGCACGAAATGCACAGATTGTACGAGAATGCAAATAACAACAACAAAATACACGCACAAAATTTCGTGCAATTGCGTGCAATCTTCCAATGCTGAAACCTATGTATATTTGCTTGCAACAAACCAGAAATGGCGGAAATCAGCTGTTTTGTCATTTGTTGCTTCTCATTTTTAAATATGAATTGACTGTTAGTAAAATTTCGAGATATGTTAATCTATGGCTATGCTATATACATGCGTTTCGTTCAATAATTTAAATCGATGTGACCATTAATTAAGTTTTCACAAATATAATATTATATACATATACATTTGTGAATTAATTTATCTATTTATCAATTTCAGCGAAACTTACGAAAATTTGTTCACATTTTGAACTATTGAATGAAGTGTTTGGACGCATGTCTAATTTCGTACGGAAACATTGCCATAGCCACCAACTAGTTCTGCGCTAGGCAACGAAGTTTTTTTTATTGAATCGTCTGCAGACAACACATCATCCAGCTCTGCACCGAAAGTCGTGCGTTCTACTGTGCAAAGCCCCACTACCCCCCTCGATAAAAAATATAACAAATAACAATAATAAATTAAGAATTAGTTATATTTTTATTATACTAATTATTTTTATATTATATTATTATTATACTAATTATTTTTATATTATATTATTATTACATACATATATCTCCAACAACAAATAATGTAGCGACTTTACGAATAGCCGCATTTTCGTCTGATGAACCCAAACGATATAAAACAATATCAATCCTTAATAGTTTATTAGTGAGACTATTAAGGAAAATACGTTCCAATTTACTCTAAGCATCTGACAAAAACGGCCTTCATCAAATTCTTGAAGAATGGTAGATCTCCATTGAATAAATTTTGGTACGGGTTGGTGATTTCTGTGATGGTTTACTAAAGTAAACAAAAGGTCTTTATTTAATTGCTCCATCACTTCCCAGTAATTTGCATCATCTAACAAATAGAAACTATATAGTAGTGAAAACTACATTAACAACATGTTAATACCTTCAATCAGAATATTAAAAGCACTATTTTCAATAAAAAAATCTATACATTTTTGTATTTCACTTGTTCGCGGCATTGTTATACTTTTATTTTTCTTTGCTCAATTTGATACGGCTGCAAAAACAGCTGATTCATATTGATGATGCAATTCTGCAACAGAGGTGTTCTCGCAGTCTTGCAGTTTTTGTATAGCATTCTTGCATTTCGTGCTCCTTGCAATCAGTTTACAAGAGAGAGTGAATACCCCTATTATAATTAGATGATAGAAGCACCAAAATGAATATATTCATTAATAGACGAACTCATCACGCGACATGATAGGGGTTCACTCCAACAATTAAATAAGAATAAGCATACAAGTGCACTCGCAGGTTATAATCTAGAGAAAATATATGAATAAGCAAATGAAAATTGTTGATTTCAAATACTAATTTTATGTATATCAAAATTCCATACAATTTTCACATTATTAAATTTCGTTTTAATTATTTTAAAATAAATATTGAGAATTTACATGAAAATTATTGGAAATATGAAATCATTTCATAAGTTTAATAAGTTAAAAATAATAACAATTTTCATATAATGACCGAGTGCGAGTTCGAGTAAATTGAGGTAAAGTAAATTGAATTTTTCAAGGATTTTTTGCACTGCGCTTACGTAAATATTTTTTTATTGCACTCTTATACTATTTTTGGTTAAAAGTTTTCAAATTTATTTATTAAACATCTTACAAAATTTTCACAACGGTAACACCTAATTTACCTAATTTTTATCTAATATGCCCTACTCTAAATTCTGGTAACATTCGGTGCCATACTGACATAACTTACCATTTCCCTCAATTAACCACCAATTTACTCGAACTCGCACACGGCCAAAGTACTATATTTATATTAATTAATATATTCATACAATCATCAATATTCTTCAAAAATTTTATTATGACCACTGTACTCATGAAATCTATTGTGAACTCTCAATGCTAACAGAATGTCTTGCAACAATTCTTTATTAAGTAAAAAAATCTTCTCTGATAACAAAATTATTATTGTATAAACCATATAAAATAATAAAACTTCCAAATTTTGTTATATTTGTATTTCCAATAATTATTTAAGAAAATATAATGGTGTATAATAAAAACTACTTAACAGTGCTATGTTATTAACTAACATAAATGCACAGCTGTTTGAAATGAAAATGACAACTGGGGCTCGTTACTTCTTTTACTTGACATTTCTTTATTTATTGTTTTATAAATTCTTCTACTTCGTACGAACATTGCTTGTGTATGTGGCTAAAATAAAACTTTTTGAGTAAACAATAAAACTGCGAAATAAAAAGAAAAATAAATTAAATAATATCCACGAAAGAAGTTAAACTGTTTAAAAATACATTTCATCTACAACAGTAAATGAAAATGAAGCCACCCGTGTTAACGTCGACAGCACTTGGGGACAAGTTTAAATCAATATTTGTTTGCTTAATATTAACAGTATTTATTACTCATTTAGCAGAAGCAAGAAAACATCATCTAGAAGTTAGAGTAAGTTGTAAAAATAATAAATGCATTAATAATAATAGCCTTCTAACAACATTACATTGTTACAGAATGACATACGACCATACATTGCACTTAGCACATTTGGATTTTATACCGGGGGCTACTTAGACGTGAAATTGAGTAAATTAAATATTGACAATGAAAATCCAAACGAAAAGGTAAGTCGAATATAATAAAAATGTATGACAATCTTTTATTGAAAAAAATCTTTAGTTTGGCCTTTCACTCGACAAAACAACAATAGACCAAATGAACCCCTATCTAGACTCACATCAAAATAAGTGTATTTTGGAGGAACAATCCAATATGCAAACCAATGGTCCTATTTTATTCTTTTTACTTGATCTTAAAAATTTGCAGTAAGTTAAAGTATATAATTTTATTTTCAATTTCAAAAAAATTATTCTTAGTGTGAAGGTGCAGTGTTCTCCGGAATGGCAAAATATGCATATTTATAAAGATCGTTCTACTTATATGATGTTTAGGGGCAAGCGGCAATCATTAGCAAAAGTTAGTGATTCTTCATTATTTTCTAAAAAGCGAAATACTCGCGATATAGATAATTTGGAAGAATCTGAAGAATATGAACCTGACAATGTTATGCCAATAGAAGCAAAAATGGAAAACCTTAAAACATCATCACCTGTTGCACCAGTATTATCACCGAGTTCTATCAAACCAGCTAATACTGTTATGAATAAATCTTCAGCTATATTGCCTTCTAAACACGAAAATGATTTTTCAAATGCAGTGTTACCTGTTGAAGATTCTGCACAAGCGTCAAGTATGCAGTCTTCCAAGGAAAATATGCAAGCTCAACTATGTAAGGATTTTATATTACCCCTAACGAAAACAGTAATAAATGGACAAAACTACTACAATATGTCGGTATGTTGTTATACATAAATTTAAATATACTAAGAGCTTCATATATCATTTGGGTGCTCGAAGTGTGCTTGAACCAAGTATGAGCCTCTCGAAAGTGTTCAAACAACATATTGTATTTTAAAATAAAATGAAATAATTGAACAGATGTTTAACTCGAACATCTTCGAGCAGCTCGGGCATTCAAACTGTTCGTTCCAAATATTCGACTTTAGGTATACTCGAACCGTTCAGTATACCTCAAAGGCCTGGTATAAATAGATAACATGATTTTTTTTTTAATTTTTAGTTTTCAATGCTGGTGACATCCATTCTTGAGGAAGGACTTTATAATTTATATTTTCATTCTTGTCCAAATTACAGTCAACAAAAAATAATATCCTTTAATGTGAGTATCGAAATTGATTAATTTCATTACATTTTATTATTAACAATGTGATGTGTATTTACAATATTGTTTTCATATATATTCTAAATTTATTCATAAACTATGTAAATGAAGGTTGACATTGAGGAAAACAACAATGGAAATTTTCTCTCAGCGGGTGAAATGCCTCTACCGGCTCTTTATTTCATGATGAGTTTATTATTTTTCCTATCTGGACTATTTTGGGTATTCATACTTAAAAAAAGCAAGTACGTTGCATGATTAAATGAATTTTTATTTAAATTTGGGAATAATTTTATGTAAACAAAATGTTTCTACATTAATTTAAGTTTTAGCATTCAATATTATTCATAAGTTTATTATTCATAGGCACAGTGTCTACAAAATTCACTACATAATGGCTGTGTTGGTATTTCTGAAATCTTTATCTCTTCTATTCCATTCCATAAATTATCATTTTATCAATACACGTGGAGAACACATAGAAGCCTGGGCTATTCTCTATTACATAGCACATTTGTAAGTTTGTGATTAATATCAAAAGTATTATATTTTGTAAATTGTTATAAACACAATAGGCTCAAAGGTGCAGTATTATTTATAACAATTGTACTTATCGGCACTGGATGGACATTTATAAAACACATTCTATCAGATAAAGACAAAAAGATTTTTATGATTGTCATACCGTTGCAAGTAAGTTTAATTATATTTATATAAAATTATTTTGTTATTTAAAATTATTTATATTAAATATACATTAGGTTCTCGCAAACGTTGCTGAAATTATAATAGATGAATCAGAAGAAAGTGATATTGAATTTCGAATGTGGAGAAACATTTTCATTTTTGTTGATTTACTTTGTTGCGGTGCCATACTCTTTCCCATTGTTTGGTCTATTCGGCATCTACACGAAGCCTCTGCAACAGATGGCAAAGCGGCTATAAACCTACGAAAACTTAAACTTTTCCGACAATTTTATATAATGATCGTTTGTTATATATATTTTACACGTATTATTGTTTATCTACTTAAAATGACTGTGGCCTTCCAATACGCTTGGTTAGATGAAATGTTTCATGAAATGGCCACATATGTATTCTTTGTGTTGACGGGTTATAAATTCCGTCCAGCTTCATCGCATCCTTACTTTGCTGTGGGGGATGAAGATCCTGATGATGATGTAGTCGAGGTACTAACTGAATCTGGACTAACACAGGGTCTACACCGTACAAAAGCTCAAAACCGTAGTGAAAAACCATCAACGATTGTTATTGAGGGCAATGACGAGGAGCGGGAGAACTTAATAACCAAACGCGAATCAAGTCATGAATATGATTAAATTATTCTTTTTAAAAACATAGGACTTACATTTTCGTATATATTTGTTATTATTAAATCTGAGCAATATATCGGTTTATCAAATATTAAGCTGTAGTTGACGTATGATAAACTTTAGTGTTGCTTAAATTATATTTTTAAGTTTAATTATTGCAACTTGCAGTTGTTGTTGGGAGAGACTGATGAGGTATATTTTGCATATTTTATTAAACTAAACTTAGACTTCTAATAATGTAAATTTATTTAAATATGTTCTTGTTTTCGATAAGTAATTATATATTAGTTCCAATAGTGCCAATAAATTCATAGATTTTTTTATTTTGTAACTTTGTGCATTAAATGTTGTATACTTCAATTTATGTGTTTGTAATTAAAATAAAATATTAATTTACCTCATCATTGGCATATGCTAACCACTTATCACCGCACTATTCAGACACAAATACAATCAACGAAGGGCACCAATTTCCATAAAATTTGAAATTTTATTGTAGAAATGATATTAAACATTTTATCTAACACAAATCTGATTTGCTAATGGTAACATTGTTTATGATTCATAAAATTGCTTTTTATTATCACCAACTTGTGAACTACATGTTTTTGTAAAAATAACTCAAAAAAGAATATCTATTTCATAAGAACCTGTATACAATAAATAAGAACTTACGTATAAAAAAACCTTAAAAGCCTTAAATACTAAAGAAATTAATTTAGAGATTGAAATTTCGGCATAAATTGTATGAAAAAAATCATATAAGTTGTGACAGAACCCACAGCCTAAAATGAGAAAAAATAAATAAAGTATATATATAAATATAAATTTATAGCTAAATAAATTGTATTTTAATTTACCCTTGTTAACATATAACCATCCATCACAGCGATGCCTATGCCATCTATTCGTATATGTTGATGCAAGATTTGTAGGGAAAAGTTTTGTATCTTTAATTATAATTAAAAAATTAATTATGTCATTTAGAAAGTTATAAGATATATTTTCACCTGCATGGATATTTTTATATCATGCGCTTCCCGAATTATATTATGTAGTTGATATGTTATACGTTTAACCTATATATAATGGAAGATTTTTAGTTACTTATAAAACATTAAAATTATTCTATTTACCATGGCCATACAGTATTTTGATGTTAATAAAAACACTGGAATTTCTAGAATTGCCGGGATCAACAAAAAATTCTCTGAAATGAAAGAAATGAAAACGTACATTTACTTTAATGTCCCTAAACTGACATATAATTTAAACTGACACATATAATTTATATAATATAAGCACAGTTTTCACAATTCTACTTGCATATATGGTAATATTTATGTATATATATATAAATAATATATATTTTATATATGTATATATTTTATAAAATAATATCCCTTAAGAATGGCAATACAACAAATGTATTTTTACATTATCAAGAGTCTCTTCCATATATATATAATGAATATACTAAAGACAGCAGATGAAACAGCGATATTAATTCACAATGCAATCATAGATGTCTACTTCGTGCAGTAAGAACTGGTCTAGCGCAATTGAGTTCTAAATACATGTTATTAAACATAGACACGTAAGTCCCCACAGATGTATCCCAACTGCACCTCTAACTAGAAGTATTTTTAAAATTCAAACTAATTTTAGTCCTAACGATTTATATCACGGCCAAGTAGAAATGATAAGATTCCTGTCTGAACTTTTCAAGCCATGATGCCTGTAAATTGAATCTATTCCGAAGTATTTGGTCAATATTCTAACGAAAGAGTAGGATTCAAGAAATTACAATCTTATATTGGGCAAGCTTGGCTCACACGCTACTTCCGTATTCATTCTCTTAAAATCATCTCCTTTACCCTCAATGCATCTTCATCATAGTCAAATTTCTTTTTGTGAGATAGCAATAGTAACGCCGAGGCAATATTTCAAACCCATTTGTCTTTTTCTAGTGGACAGCATTTCTGATATACGTTAAGAAAATAATCTGAGCATTATAAAGATATGAGTTTAATAGGATCCGGTTTTAACATGAAATTTCTTAAAATATTTGTGCTGCAGGTCATTTATTTTATAGAATGAATATTTTATATTATATATTAGGAAGACTATATTGAAAAACTATTTTATGCACAAACAAAACCTTCTTCTTACCGTATGTATTTCCAACCGTATATATAGTATAATATGTAAAATATGTATCTACCAATACTCGTACATAAATTTGTAATAAAACTGCTGCTATGGAGAAACTGAATGATTCCTGAAACATTCTGTACATGCCATATATGGTTTGATAGACTTGCTGTTTTTCATATATCTTACGGCGCAAATAATTTCCGAAACCCGTAAATGGTACAACGATTGTAGCGAATCTTGTATAATCTGCCAGAACACATAGATCATGTTCCAGTTTCACTAATTCTTTACGCATAATTTCCAAATGGAAAACAAATTCCATATTACGAGTATGTAAAGCGTAAATGTAAGGCAGGAACATCGACCAATATAGAATTAAATGTCGGCTTTTCTCTTGACGTACTATAAATGTTATTTCTAAGGAGATCTGCATAATGAGAAATATATAAAAAATGCATAGATAACGCCAATTGAACATAATTTGTGTCCAACAATTCTGCACCTTGTCGTTTTTCTTCAATGTTTGTTCACGTAGTTTATTATAGAGCAACCAAAATCTTCGTAGCTTCGAACGAAAGAATATTGACTCTATATAACTTGCTACCAGAGCGAGATGTGCGAAATTTATTTTCAAACCATCGTTAAAATAACCAAATCGATCTTTTTTGAAATAATACTCATCAGTACTGATAAAATTAACAAAGATGTATGTGGAATTATAAATTGTAAATAATAATACGCTCCACAATAATAAAAGACATTCCTTCCTTTTCTTTTTCTCTTCTACTGTTGATGGATTTATTGAAAGTGTGAAAAACCCGAAAATTTGAAATATTCTCATATGCATTCGCAAAATTTTGGACTTCACTATTACCGACATTTTTGCAAACTGCTTCCAATATTTTTCTCTTTTCCGTTAAGAGAAGTATGTAAGGAAATACAGAAGTCAATAGAATTAATTACTAATGTCATGCTATGAAGAATAGTTTCAATTTATCTAATAGATTTTAATTTCTAATTGAATTTTATTAAATTTATCTAACATTTTAAATAATATATTATCTGAAAATATAATTTTTTAAAAAATTTTGGTTAGTACTGTACGTATAGTGTAGAAGGGAACACGTCAATAATTACATTATGTGAAAACATATCAATTATCGTATGTTAACACCAAACTCAGAATATGTGTAATATATAATTATTTAATAATTTTAAAATAAAAATATGAAAGGCCAATCAAATTAATAATTCAACAATTAAAATACAAAAAAAAAATAAATGAAAGTTTTTAGTAAAATAATATTTATTGAATCTCAGAATGGTTACAGGCTCCTCGGGGAGGTATGCAGATCTGAGGTCAATTATTGCTTCGTCTGATGAAGTGATAAACAATAATCCAGTCAAGGTGTAGAAAGGGGTTATGAAGAAACCTCGCAGTTAATAGAGAGTAAATGTGCTGAAGTTCACTGACTCAACTACCTCAACATAATATTAAGAATATTTACTAAAACTTTTTAATCGTATCTAAATTGAGTCAATGATAACTTAATAAATCACTAAACGACATTTTTTTTGATTATGATGAATTCATTATTCATGATAACAATTTGCATTATTGAATTATTCATTATAATATTTTAATTAAATGATTTTTTCTTTTTACAGTCATAAAGTATCATTCTAAAATGAACAATTAAAAATGCTATTGTTTTTATAAAATTAAACATGAATAATTAATTCATTTATTACTAAATTAACGACCTTTACAAACCTAAAGCTAAGGCTGGAATCACCTCTAATTCGCCTGTCAGTATTGAGTATTCGCTAATATATTATAATTAAAGCTCAGACATTTATTACGGCTCACCCACAGCTCAGACTTGGCATAAATCATAAAAATTATAAATTGTATCTTCACGATTTAATGTAGTCTTTTTAATGTAGAATTTTTTATTTAAATTTTCAATAAACAACTCAAGACCAAACCTTTTTCTTCGAAAGCATTCGACGCTTTTTAATAGATAAAAGAATGCAAAATAAGAATATGAAATTGTTGAAGTTCTTAAACTAAACACCGTGCATTTTAAATAATTTTTACTTGCATTTTTTATTTAATAATTTCTAAAATAAATCCCGCATAATTTAAATACTTTTTATTTATATTTTATCTTTGATCTCTAATGCAATAAATTAGTAAACTAATTTAGCTCAAGTGAAATATATGTAATTTTAATATGTTATTAAATTATTTATATTAAAAGATATATTTATATTATATATAGTATTTTATATATTTGAAGCAATCCTGAAATAATTTTATAAAAATAAAAATTAATTTTTAATTATCGAAGTTGAAAATAATGGAACTGCAAGTCTCTAAAAGTATGTTCCTGTATTTTGAAAATTTTTACATCAACCTATTAAAGAACTTATTCTTTATTTCAGATTGAATGTTATTATTCTCAAAACATACAATTAAAAAATTAATATATGGACATCGAATAGAGAAATAATCGACAGTAATGGTTGGTAATCGAAAAAAGCACTATCAGAAAAATTTTGAATAATTATTCTATCACAAAATGGATGTTGAATCACTATTAAATGATATAACAATAAATTATTATTTATTTTCTGGCTCTGAAATGCACTTGTGTTAGAGATTTCAATCAAATTCTTATTTCGATATATCAGAACTATTATATGAACGTTTTGAGATGGTTTTCGATAACTTGTCACCACATACCACGCAATAGTTTAGCTAAGTTATGGCTGAATCTTCAACAATATGAACATTATCTGAATAAATACAATGTTTTGAGTAACCCCACAAAAAAACACCAGGAAACACAATATAAAACGTATTGTGTGCTTTGTGAGAGCGTTCTGTTGAAATTGCATACGGATATCCTCCACAATCATATATTCAACTGCATCAGAAGAAAAAATCAGTAGTTCTATATTCGCTTTTTCAAAGATGGTATGAGCATACCACAACTCCAGATCAAATACCACAGCATTGCATACAATAAGTTTTTGTGAATGAAATCGTTTTAAAATAGTTATTTATGGAGTTTCATTTCCCCGGATGCAACAATTTTTTTCATTGACATATTCACCAAACGAATAATATAAATTATTACTGAAGAAAATTCGACGTTAAAACCATGTCCACTCCATGCTGATTTCTAGAACACGGCCAATAAAAAAAGTAGTTTCGGTTTAGCTGCACCACATAATCAGTTTAAGGGTGAAATAAAGCTTCAGGTTAACAGGTGTCTGATTTCAAGCAAACGCCTAATTAAAAATATGTCTATGCAGTGGTGTAACAATATATGTCTAAAAAAGCAAACGTTTCCGGATGACATTGATGGAGCGGTAGTAACAAAATAAAATATTTTAAATTGATTAATGTATAGACTCAGTCAACATGTATGATGTTTTTCTAACTATCTTATTAGTTAATTCCTTAGAGTACGTAGTAAAAAAATAGCAAACCAAGGTTCAATGCAATCTGCAGTGAGATAATGATGGTATCTATAAAAGTTTTTTCTATTTCCAACTGTAACCTTCATCACACATTTTCGAAACTACAAAAATAATACATCATGTCTTATATGAAAATAGTACTTATACACCATATATAGATATTAATAATTCTTTCCAAATCAGATTGCAGTCATCAGAAAACAAATAACTGTTTCCAAATTTCATTAATTTGTTTAAAACTTAGTTATATCCAGTTAATTAATTAGCCCATAATGTTAATTTATACTTTTGAAATTCAACACAAATATTAAAGATATATTTAAGAATTAGAATAATTTACTAACCTAAAAAACTCCAACTTGCATATATCGTGTAGTACATAAAATATATATCAACAAGTACCCGTACATAAATTTTAAATAGAACTGCAGTAATTGAGTAACCAAAGCACTTCTGAAACGCTGCAAACATCTCATATATAGATCCATATATTTTTTGTCTATCCCTCAATTTTCGTAATAAATATCGCTTGAATCCAGTAAAAGGCAATACATTACTTGCAAAACGACTATATTCAGCCAATGTAGACAAATCTTGTTCCAACTGCAACAGTTCAAGACGAATAATTTCCATATACATAATAAATTCCATATTACGAAAGTGTGTAATTAAAATGTAAGGCGTGAACATAACCCAAAATAGTATAATGTGTCGAGACTTGTCTTTTTGTAAAATAATAAACACAAATTCTACTACAATTTCTAACAAAACGAATCCGTAAAATATGCTTATATACCAGATATGTCGGCGAAAATCCAAAGTAAGATTGTTTTGCTTACATTTGATTTCAAAGTCATGTAGTTTGGAATAAAGTAACCAAAATCTTTTTAAAGCTTCACGATTCATTAAGGATTCTATATAAATTGCAATGATAGCAATTTGTGCAGTTGTAACTTTTAATACGTCATTGAAGTAACCAAAACGGTCTCCAATAAACAAAAATTCATCTTTACTTATGAAACCAACAAAAATTAAGAGCATTGTGAATATGGAAAAAAGGGTCGCACTCCACAATTTGAGAATATTCTCGATAATCTTAGCATGCCTCGCAAGATTTGTATTCACTGCTAATGTAAAGAAACCGAGTAATTGATAAAGTCTTATATGCGCTCTTAGAACCGCTGAATGCACTTTTATCGACATTTCAATTTTGACTGATTATAGTAAAAATGTTCAGATAGATAAATATTATAGATTCGATATTAAAATTACGTCAATAACATTAATTTCATTATTTGTTGGACGGTAGCGAATTCATTTCCCACTCGTACTGTAATGAATTATCGGCAACATGCAATATAATAATTATTATATATTTTAAAGTTATTTCAATTAGCACTTAAATACAATACGTAAAAATTGCAAACATTTGACTTGCATGTCTTTGGGTCAGTTGGCTAATGAACACTGACTCTGAGCTTCAAATTTGGCAGGGCACGAGTTCAATCCCTAGTACTTGCAATCTCAAAAAATTATTTACAAATAATTAAATAGTCTTCTATAATTCCAAGACCACTGATGGTGGGTATTTGGCACTACTCGAGCTGTATGGTCAGTTAAAATTGAGTTAGTTATAATAATACAATAATACAATAATACAATAATACAATAGAGAGGTTTCGAAACCTCTCTATTGAAATTTTTAACAAACTCTTCTTATATAGAATATTTAGACAATTAAAAAAAAATCTATATCTATAGTCTATAGTTATATCTATATCTATAGTTATACATATATTTATAATATCTATAATTTTGTTTATTTGGGAAAGTTTTTGCTAACGGAAACTGATCATAATATCAGAGTAATATCACAGGAAGTGCATTGTTAAGTAATGAAGATTTTTGAAAAATTATATTTTGTTTTTGAATTTCAACCACTGAATAAGAACGATTGAAACTAAAATAAGGACCGCTCCTGCTTTCCCTACTAAAAGACGATTTATCAACTTTACAAAACTGATTAAATCTAGACATAAAATTTCTAATTAATTAAAATATTCAAAATTCAAATGTATGTTTTAGTTACACTTGAACAGAAAGCACGAACTGAATTTAGTTTATATAAATATAGTGCAGCTAATAAAATGCAATATAAAGATACGAAAATGACTAAGAAGTCTTTCAAGTGCAGTGAAGAAACTCCAATAAAACTAAATCGATTTATGCTAATTCATTTGCGTTTCTTTCAATATTTCGGCTTGTGCCCCGTATCCATGCAATTACATGATGGCCATGACCATTGGCAATTAAAGAACACGTACCATTTGGCCTGGATATTCTTTCATTTATTTGCCTTTATACTGCTACATTTAGTGGCTGTATATAGTGGTAAAAAATTATTCTATAATGATGACAGTTTTTCTAAGTTTAATGATATACTTAAGTTATCTACTGCAATTCTCGCACACTATGTTACATTAATTGAAATGATATTACAGCGTAAGAAAATGTATTGCTTTCTTAAAATGCACACTAACTTAAATAACATCCGTCTTCAAACAAACACCTCAAGTCAATTAAAATCTTCTCTATTCATCTTTCGTCGTTTCATATGTAACTACATTAGTTTCTTCATCCTCACATTTACGGTTGATCTAATACATGTTATGAATCCAAGCAACAACTTACAGATAGTTATATATTTCATAAGTTATAAGCCCAGTGTATTTATCTGTAGCTTACGTTGCATACAGTTTATGCTGTACTTAGAAATAATACAACTTGAAGTTAGAGAATTAAACGTCCGATTGGAGAAATTGATTAATTCATGTTTGAAACTTCATTTGCAAGACGTCAAAATTGCAATTGGTGGAAATTTGGAAGCAAATATTTTAACAGAACTGAGATCCATTATGTTGGATTATAGTCAAATTTATGATATGTGTGAATCAATAAAATCCAGTGTTAACTGGTCTACTTTATTAAATTATGTGAGAGCTTATGTACAAATTTTGGTCGATTGTTATTGGTCTTATTATTTGATTTATATTAGAAGTGGCATTATTGGTAGGCATACTTAAATGATTACTATAAGAAAACGTTAATTAAGTTTATATTTCAGGATATACTTTAATAATACCAACAGGAATTATACTATTACAACTGTTTCTAACATCAAGAAATTGCATGCGTTCGGTAAGAGTTTCTAAGCCATCAGTACTAGCACCTATTACTTTAATATTACTTTAAGTTTTCTTTCAAAAACGAATACATCCTTTTAATACATAATATACACATTATTAAAATATTGAGCACGGACAACAATTCTCTATTGTAAAAAAATTTGGTGAATGATAATATGAGAGATTTATTATATAGCCCAAAACTTTACAACTTATTGAAGTGAAATTACTTTCATTCTTGCTCTTATGTTTTTATGCTCTAGTTAGTTTTATAAGCAAATGTTTATAATAGTAAGTAAAGGCTACATAATACTATGTTCAGACAGCCAAATTTTCTTAATTTCGTAAAAATGAAATTAAGTTAATTTCGAAAGTGTTCATATTACACCAAATTAAGGAAACCATATATTTTGTCTACAAATCGAATGTTAAAAATTACCTATTCCAAACACCCTTTGTATTTGGGAAATTTTAAAAATTCATTAATATAACTATAAATGTTGGCATTTAGTAGTTTTATTAGCTTTAGTGTATTTCAGGTATGTGAATTATTATTTTTCACTCTATTTTAAATTAATAACCCTTACAGTTCTTTCTCTGTATTCAAATTGAAAAATATTCACTACTTTCAAAATATTTCCCAGTTTTGTTAAAATCAACTTTTTTATTTAAAAAAAATGTCACTTTTTAGTTACCTCAACTTTATTTTTTGCTTAAAATATATCTCACGGATAGTTGCATTTCAAATGTCCCTTAATTTTAGCCTTCCTTTCAACGAAATTAAGGCAATTTTCCTTAATTTTGTCGTAGCCGTAAAACTGAAAAAACAACTTAATTTCGCTGAAATGAAGTTCATATTAAGATTTTTGCGAAATTAAGGTCGTGTGCGAGTTAGGCTAAGTTGCGTTCTAAATGAGGGAAATTCTAAGTTGTGTCGATAATGTATTGATGTGTCGATACGTGTTGATAAATGGCAAAATGTGTGCAATGCAAAAAATCCCAAAAAATCTCCCATTTGGTTTAGCATCAACTTAGCCTAACTCGCACACGTCCTAAGTTGTGTCTGAACATAGTATGAGTTGCAGTCAAAGAAGATGCAATAGAATTACAATCATACTTGAATGGAATTGTAAAAATTAATTTATTTATATATTTGAATTTAAATAAATTTTTATTATTTATTTGAAGGAACTACAATGCATTAAAAATATAGTTATTATATATACATTAAGAATTCACTAATGTTAATTAATCTGATAATAATATGACTAGAGCTTTGTATTATTTTTACAAAGGAGTAAATTGAAGGCCATTTCTGTTATATTATTCGCAATTTGTCAGAGTGGCATGCTGATTAATATCTACAAAAACTACAAGTTAATTAAATACAAAAATTAAATAATTAAAACAAGCAATCATTTATTAAAACCATTCGTAATCTTTATACAATAGTGAATATATTTTCAGTAAAAAAAGAAGTAAACTCATGAACTAGTATTGAATCAAACTGCTAATAAAACTGATAATAAATAAATTAATAAATATATAAATAAATGAATATACATCCTAAAATTTATTAAAAGATACAAAAATGACTAAGAAGTCTTTCAAGTGCAATGAAGAAACTCCAATAAGACTAAACCGATTTATGCTAATTCATTTGCGTTTCTTTCAATACTTCGGTTTGTGTCCAGTATCCATGCAGTTGCAAGATGACCACGACCATTGGCAGTTGAAGAATCATTATCATTTGGTTTGGTTGGGCTTTCACTTATGTGCTTTTATTACGCTACATACTTTCGTTATACGTAACGCCCAGAAATTATTCTACACAACCGACAGTTTTGGACTATTCAATGACATACTTAAGTTATCGGCAGCTATTATAGCACACTACGTCACATTAATCGAAATGATTTTCCGACGTAAGGAAATGCATAGATTTCTACAAATCTACACCAGCCTGTACAGAAATCGTTTACAAGTCGATTCATCCAAATATAAAAAAAATTCCGCCTATACTTTTCGCCGCTTCATATGTAATTATATTGGTTTCTTCACAATAATGTGGGCAATTGATATAAATTATCTTACAAATCCAAGTAACAGTTTACAGATAGTTATGTATTTTATAAGTTATATGCCCAGTGTACTTATCTGTAGATTCCGTTTAATACAGCTTATGCTGTATCTGGAAATGTTGCGTATTGAGATTGAAAATTTAAATGAGCGCTTGGATGAATTGATTAGCTCATGCTTAAAACTTTATGAGCAGGGCGTCAAAATTGCAATTGGTGGAAATTTGGAAGCAAATATTTTAACAGAACTGAGATCCATTATGTTGCATTATAGTCAAATTTATGATATGTGTGAAGTGCTAAAAGCCAGCTTAAATTGGTCTACTCTGTTAAATTATGTAAAAGCTTACGCGCAAATTTTGGTTGATTGTTATTGGTCTTATTATATGGTTTATGTTGGTAGTGATATTGTTGGTAGGCATAGTCAAATTAATTATATTTTAGTTTTATTTTTCAATTATTTTATTTTTAGAATATACTTTGATATTGCCTACAGTAATTATAGTTCTTCAATTGCTTTTAACTTCGAGAAACTGCATGCGTTCGGTAAGCTATATTAACCTCTAAGAAAACTTAATATTTTTTTTATAATGTAATACATATAAACTATGTAATGTATACTGTAAACAATATACACTATACTTAAATCTCCAGAAAATAAAGCATTGAAATTAATTAAATGAATTGATTAAGCAGGGTCAGATGTGTCACATAGGTCAGAGAGGTCAAAACAACCAGAAAGCATAATTGTTTGGAATTTAAATCTACCTTAACGTGTTATTAATAAATAATATTTAAAATATAAGAGAAATAAAAACTGTATCTGAAAAATTAGTTTTATAATTAGAGGCATTTGATCCAATACTCTGGAAGAACTTTCACTTTAATAAAACAGTATCTATACTGGCTAGACTTTAGAAAGATTTATACATAAACAAACATAAACATCGTGCTATAGTCTGATCAATATAAACTTCAAATCAGTATACATTTAATTAATTATCTATATATCTATGATTTTAAATCAGTTTTCAAATTTATACAGGCTCAGTTCTTTGGTCACAACATTCACAAATTAAGACATAATATTGAAAACGTTCGAATCGCAGCACTTGTAAGTATTTCAAAGATATAATCAAAAAATACTTTATGAAAAATTTCTAATTATTACAGATACAAAATTTTTCACTGCAAATACTTCATCAACAAATTGTGATTGATGTCCATGGTTTTTTCGTACTAAATTGCGACTTAGCCAGATCGGTAAGTTCCTTATTAAAAATTAGCTATTAGAGGTGCACTATAAAATTATTATCTGATCATGTGATCTTATGATTTTTATGATTGTTATTTTGTATAGTTGAATTTTAAATTATGAAATTAGGTATTAGAACAAAATATATAACAGGTTCTATGAAATTTTTGGAAATCGTTTTCTTTTAATATTTTTAAGTGAAATCAGGGATTATTTCAATTTGTTTCCTAACATAAAAGTCTAGACCTATCAAAAATATGTCAGAACTAATCATTTTTACTTTAGTTTCAATTAAAAATTACTTTGGACCAATAACAAGAAATCTATTTCGAGTAGAAAAGTGAGTAATAGTGTGGAATTTTTTGAAACCCAAAAAAAAATTTTATTTTTTAGTTAAATGTATTCTTGGCCACACAGCTGTTGATTTTTATAAAGCAATTCTTCTGTTATTTGTCTTAATCATAGTAAAAATTTATTTAATTTAAAATCACTATTTTTTTTACTTTGCTATGCTTTACTATATTTAACCAAATCCATTCTAAAGTCCGTCTTCTTTTGTACTTAATTGAAAGTAAAGCTATATTAAATATTACACTGTGGGGTATTATTGCAATGTTTATATAAATGTGACATACTCAAATTAAATTTAATTTAATTAATCTATAAGCTTTTATTTTTATTCACATCAGCCTTTTCACCAATTAAAAATAATTAGAAAGTGGACTCACAATTACTCTAAATTAAATTTAATTTAATTTATGAAAAAAGTTATAATAAGAATTTATAAAAATTTATACCTGGACATGACTTCCGTTAATTATATACTTCTGATTTTTTCAGTTAAAATGTAAAAAAAAATGTAAAATATCTTAGAAGAAATATTTCGTTACAAACTGTATTTGTTGATATTTTTAAAACTAATATTATTATTAAAAAGAAATTTTCCAATAAAAAATTAATTTTTCTTCTTTTAGATACTTGGCTCAATAACCACATATATGCTGTTTTTTATACAATTTATGCCTAAGTTTCAAACAATTTGAACTCAAAAATATATTTGTTTACTAAGAAAACATTCCATAACAGCAGAGAAACATGGGTACAAAAATTGGTTAAATAATTTTCAGAAGAAACCGTAAAAGTGCTTTCGTAATACAAGCCATTCGGTGAGCCCGTGGCGACAATGCGATTTGGGATGTTTTTTTTTTTGAAAACAAACAGAAGAAGAAATTCGAAACAAAATAAAAATGTGCTTATTTTCATTTTTACATAATGTATTTAACTATTTTAACTACAAATAAATAATTACTAAAATAAATAAAATTATAAATAAATAAATAAAAGCTTAAAATTAAGCTTTACATAATGTTCACACTAAACGTTGGGTAATTTAATGTTTATAAAAATGGTGTGGGATAGGGGTAACCAGTTGTACTGTCAACGCCTTGTACATGCCCCGCACTATAGCTATCCAAACCGCTATATGTATTTGGTTTATTATAATGTGCTGTCCAAGTTTCTGGCTCTTTAGGTACTGTAAAGACTTCATCATCGAATAAAGTATTTTGCCTTACATTTTGTTCATAATGGTGGGTTTCTGTTTGTTGATCATTAGATGAAGGCAGGTAACTATCAGCTGCTGCAATAGTACTACTACTACTACTCCTATAGCCGGTATCAAAACTCTGTGTATAGTCATGTTCGTAGTTATTGCGATAACTGGTTGTGCTACTGCCTTGTGGTGCGTAATTGTAACCACTATCTACTGTGCTCGGTCTATATGAACTCTGATACTCATGCTCTACATGAATTTCATCAGGGAGTGATATCGGTGGATATCTTACACTGTCATAATTATTTTTAGTATAATGTTCATAGGATTCAGGTACTTTATCATAATTGTACTGCGAGTGCTCATATGATGGAAACTTGCTACTACTGGTTAAATCTATAGTCTCTTCAATAGGTGTCTTATGTGCATAGTTGAATTTTGGTGTGTTATAAGTATGCGTTTCTTTATAACTCTTTGGCTTGTGGTGATAATCGTCGATATGTTTATGCCGACCTGAAGTTTCAACAACTTTAAAGGTATCAATATGTGATGGTTTGTAATCATAACCGCCTTCATAGTCGCTTGGCTTTGATTCAATCACACGTATTGTTTCGACGGGCTCTTTAGGATGATAGTGATGGAAGTGACCATGCGTTGGTTGTTTCTTTTTATGTTTTATAACTTTATAGGTGTTAGTGTGCTTTTTTGGTATTGTTTCTGCTGGTTTTACAACATAAGTCTCTATTGGCTTTTCAAATATTTCATCACTGTCGTCGTGAGGAAATTCCTTGAAATCTGCATTACTAAATGTGGGCTTCTTATAACTACTCTCTAGCCAATTACTATGTTTGCCACTATAACCTTTTTTCGACGGTCTTCTACGATGATGATAGTGATGTATAACTTTATGTGCTGGAATAACTGGGGCTGTTGCATGATGACTTGAATCAGAGTGTTGATATTCATGTTCTTCTCCACTAGAGGCATCTAGTTTGTGTGGTAAGTGTAACTTTATATGCACAAACTCATTTCCAAAAGTTGGTACACTACATGCGGTATTTATATAGTAAATTAACGTTAAGAAAAACTGTGGATAGAATATTTTTTTATTAAACACTGCAACATTATTTATTTCTTCTTACTTACAAAAATTTGTTTGAAAATTGCCATTATTTAAACTGAATTTCTCTTATATCGATTATATTAATTTTCTTTTCTATGGCAATTTATTCTTATTTATATTCAAATATTATATAAAATATGTATACAAATATTTTATTTTAAATTTTATTTTTTTTTTTACTAATTTAATTTTTTTATTTAACACTGTCACTTTTTAGTCGGTTGATTGACGAAATTCGTTTAAACCGCATAGTAGCTTTTAACACAATTTATATAGAGTCGCCGTGGCCTTTGTAACGCTGTTGGCGTTGACATCTTCCAAATTGGTACTTTAAGTAGCGGTATTTTGATCGAACTCTCGTGGCTATTGTCTTCTCGTATCGGAAGAGATGTCAACTTAATTGTAAACGAAATTTTGGAATTTTAAATTTGATAACACACCAAACGAAAGTTTATAGAAACCCAATTTCTGCTTTAATAAATTTCTTCTCTTCCGTCTGGTCAATAGCAGATAACAACAAATGCTACCGGCTTCAACAGTGGCTTAGAAACAATTTTTTAACTGAGCTCAAGCTCAGTTGGTGTAAATGAATTGCAATCAACTCTTATAATTTAAAACTGTTAAGTAAGAAATAAATTGAACTAATTAATTAATTAAAATTATTGACGCAATTAATTTTAAAAATAATAAATATCGTATAGACCTTTGATGTAATTTATGGAATAGCAAATCCTTCTGAAGTAAATACTTAATTTAATATTTAAATAATATATTTCAATATGATATGTTTTTAAAATAGTTGATAATTGAATTATTTGATTTAAACTGACTTGAAATGCATTTGCTAACCACTTTAACAGCAATCAAGCTATTATTTAAATTGGGCAAGGAAATTATGAAGTGTTAATAAAGCATATGTTACATTTATAAATATTTAAAAATATATTTATATACAGCCGATTGTTTGCATGGGTGTAGCAGTAGAACAATTATACAAAAGTTTTTATTAATTAAACTGAATTTTATTGAAGGTTAAATTAAAACTGTAGCTATTAAGCGATAAACGATTGGTAGCAAAAAAATCCCAATCACCGATAAACATTTGTTCCAGTTATTCAAATGTAATTGTAAAATTATGGATAAGAGTTTAATTTGTATAACATTTATATTTATAATTTGGTGAAATCATAAAATCCAATTGAATTTGTCTACCAATACAATTGTTATAATTAGAAGGGAATAATATTGACTATCATTGGTACAACCTGGTACAATAATGAAACTGCTGAGAAGTCTATAGATTTATTTTCATGTTCTTGTGCGACATCAATTACAACACTATTCCCAAAATAATAATTTCTCTACCAATTATATACTTTTGACTGTTTTTCAACAGTGAAAATCTTTTAAATGTTTAAGACTAATATTAATTGATATGTAGCTTATATATAAAAATAATTAGGTATTGCCCATGAGTCAAGTAAACCCACTACATCGATATCTTCTATCATAATTTTGTGAAAATTCTGTTATCACTTTCTATCATACAACTGTGTCAAACATGTTTCTTATATACTCATGCTTCTTCTTTCTATTTCTAATAAAATTTACACTCTGTATCCTTATAAACCCCCTAGTAATTAAAAACTCTTCGTCTGGCCAATTCGTTAATGATTTTTTTTTTTATGAAGAAAGCCTACTACTTACATCATATCCGTTACCTTTAGTTTGAATTCTTCATATATCAGATTTTACATTGGTATTCCGGGTTTTGATTCAACTGTTATGTAGCATGTGGAAGAAACCAACCCATTGTCAACAAGTATACCGAGCTGTTCCCGTTTTATTAAACCAATTTGCTAAACACTTAACAACACTTTGCAATACTTAAAATGTAGAACATCATCATCATCTGAAGAAATATTACAACAACCATTAGTCATCAGCATGTTTAAGAGTGGTCTTTATTTTACTATAATTATGTATATAGAAACTTTTGTTATAAATGTATAATTATATATAAATGTATAAATAACATCAGTATGTTTATTTTGTACACAAAAAATAGTACAACTTATTACTTTAAATGTACTGTAATGCTCAACAATTAACTCTACTTCGTTATTTGATTAGTATCTTCATCAATAATTGTTATTAGACTTCTAAAAGATTTCGATTAAATTAAAAGTAGATTAAAAACTAGTCCATAATGGTATCTCATTATTATGAGATCATTATTATCAATATGATGATTATGATATGGTAGCCACTTTAAAACTACTCAAATTCATTTTAAAAACTTTGTACCATCACTGTCCTACACGATTTTATGAGTACCCTGGAAAGTTAATTCCTTACCTATACACACCTTAGTAACCTGAACAGCTTCCCGCTTTATAATAGTTTGTAACACATTTATCATAATGACAGACGTTAATAGATTGACAATGGTTATAATTAAAGTAAAAAGAGTCTCAGTGTTCTTTAATCTATTTTCAGATAGAAAAAATATATAATAATAATTCTTTTCTTTTTTTACTATTCAGTGCCGATGATCATTATATATGTGATGATGTATTAGATGTAAGCATATCAGCATAATAATAATATTTTAATCTATGTTGCAGGGACCTTACAATTATAGAAGAACAGATATTTTTATTAAGATAATCATGATAAAAATAACAACAAGCATTATGTTCCTAATAATTAGAAAGATATAGCAAAGAAAGATATAGTATGCTGTTACATACTTTCAAATTATTTCATCATTTTTTCGATTAGTTTAGGTTATTTTCATTTTATATACAAACATATACGATTAAAGTTTTGAGAACTACGCCACTGTTAAAAAAAAAATTTCAAAACAAATCACCTAAAGCTCTTTTCTTAAGATATATTATATAATAAAAATAGTAATTGATTAAGTGCCTATTAGTATGTAAATACCGTGATGAGAAAGTATTAACTTTTATTGGTATCTCTGTTGATATTTAAACAAACAAAAAATAACTAATTACCCTAAAAAATGAAGGATTACATCTAAAATGTGTACTACGTGCAAAATTTCAAAGCATATATTTCACGGTCAAGATTGAAGCGAAATCGAATGAATGTATCTTTAAAAACAAAATATTTTTTTCGACATGTTATTTTAATGGGTAATAAATTACTTACTTAAAATTCAGGAAGATACTCGATATTCGAAAGAAATTTTTATAATTATTTTTCATATATTATTGAAATGTTAAAAAAAATAAAAAAATATTAATCATCATTATCTATATGTTAAAGTAAAGGCATTGTGAAGACAATGCCGTTCCTTGTAAATAAAAATTTCAGATAAATAAATTTTCAAATCAATTTGTGATTGTCTTATGATTTTTATCAAATCCCATTGATATGGCATATTTATTACTATAAATCTTAAATTGATTGTCCGATTAGTTTAAAAAAATTACTCTAAAAGTGATTTTTTTAACAATTAGCATAAAAGCAATTTGTACATTCAACTATAGCAGGAAAATAAGTAATATGCTCATAATATTATACATAAAATTACATTAACAGTTTAAGATTTACTAATGACATAAAAATAATACGAAAATCATCATCTATTAGTCGCTTTACTGTCTGGAAATCAGCAAGTCCAAAGCGAAAGTCTTAATAATTCACTGCCTATTAATCAAACAAAGGTGACACCGATTGCTGCCTACAATTAAGTAGATATCTTGAATTACTTAAGTTCCCTTATAATATACATAGATAGTATAACCGTAAAAATAAAATCCCTCATCCCAAGACTCAAAAAAATACGAAAACATAGAACCATTAGTGGATCTACAAACTTTCGATTGGTAAATGCATTAGTTCTTACAAAAGCACATATGAAACCGACACATAGACTATTACATTGTGACCGAAAGGTTTTCGGAAGTTCTCATTTAAAATTCGCGCGCTGTATATTTTTCGATATTTTAAGTTTATGTAGTTTGGCAGCACTGTCCTTAATTACTATGCCAAAAATGAGCGCGATCTGTCAGACAGTTCGTTTACGGCAGCTGTTGAAACCAGTTCACCTCAGTAGTGCGTTGCGAAAAAACAATGGAAAAAAATATTGAACAAAGAGTTTGCATCAAATTTTGTGTTTCGAACGAAATTTCGTGTGCAGAATCGTTGCGAATGCTACAAAAGGCTTATGGGTAATCAGTTTTATCGAAAACTCAAGTTTATGAGTGGTACAAAGCCTTTCAGGACGGTCGTACGACCGTCGAAGACATGCCGCGTTCTGGACGACCTTCGGCCTCTACCACCGACGAAAACATTGAAAAGGCAAAGGAAATCGTGTTCCAAAATCCTCATGTGAGTGTTAGAGAGATAGCACGAGAGCTAGGCATCGGTCGTGAGAGCTATCCGCCGTAAACGGCCTCAATTGTGGAAGGATAATTCATGGATTTTTCATGACGATAATGCTCCCTCGCACCGAGCCAACATTATCAACGATTTTAAGGCCAAACATTCAATAAATACCATCGAACAGCCACCGTATTCACCTGATCTTGCACCGTGTGACTTTTTCCTGTTTCCCAAACTCAAATTACCACTCAGAGGAACGCGTTTTGAATCCATAGAAGACGTAAAACAGAATTCGCAGAGGGAACTCAAAGCCATACCGGAAAGCGCCTATAAAAAATGTTTTGATGATTGGAAGAAACGTTGGCATTTGTGTATCGCTTCTAATGGAGCATATTATGAAGGAGATAAAATAAATATTGATGAAGATTAAGAATTTTGCGTTTGTACATTGTGACCGGAAACTTTTCGGTCACAATGTATTATTATCAGACAAACAGAAGATTAAAGATTGATGTTACTATATAGTAAAATGGCGGGAATTTCATTGAGTGCTTACAAAGTCCATTTCTTTGTATTGTAGTAATTAAATGTATAAAAAAAGTTATGGAAACAATCTGTAATGCTCGTCTGACTAATTCAGTAACAAAACGAGATATTTGGGAATCTTTGAACAACTGGTTGCAGAGAATAAAGTAAACGAAAGTAGAAAAGAGGAATTTCAATTACTTAATAGGTGCATCAACTGCAATCGTTGCTGGGAAAAATGATGGTCAGAACGATATATATAGCACATTGAACAAAGTAGCGCACCACAAAGGGCTGGAGGAAGAATAATAGTATATATACCATATGTAAGTTACGCAATCATAATTTTTAAATAAATAGAAATTAAACAAAATTTGCTTGGAAAGTCAAGGCGTAGAGAGGGGTTTTGAAGAAACCTCGCAATTAATAGAGAGTAAATGTGCTCAAGTGCAATGACTCAACTAGCCTCAACATAACAATCATCATCATCCGTGACTATACATCCTTGACTATATTTTCTATTCTTCTCTGTTTTTTTCTTTTATTCTCCAATTTTTTATGTTCATTTCTTTTAAGTCCTGTTGAACACTGTCTTTTCATCGCTTTCTTGATCGCCGTCTTCTTCTGCTGTTTCCTACTTCGTTATCAATGAATACAAAATAGCAGTAATTTATAAAAAAAAATCATTAATGTAATGATTTATTAAGACTGCTTAATGTGGTTTTAATATATAAAATTGGATCCATATATATTTCCTTTATATATTCCTTTATATTCTATTTTAATTAGTTCATGTGATGAGCTAATACTGTGATATTGATTATTTAGTTAAGCAAAACAAAACCGCTTAACTTAATTAATTGAAAAATAATTATTTTTACCGCAACATAATTCTATTAAATTTTGTTTTTGTTTTTAATAAATAAAAAATTAAAACCAGACAGACTGTCGCTACATTTTCGATTATGGGTTACGTTGCCATATCAGCATTTACATTTAAAGTTTTTTCTCATTTAATATGTTAACCACAGAGAAATACGTTAGCAATATTAATGAATATGAAATGTTTTAAGCGCCACCGATTGCTGAAAACACCACAACAATAACGCACTAACAGCCAATACATTGTAGAAACGAGAACTAACCTCACGATATATATGTATATCGTGAGGTTAGAACAAATGGCATAGACATCAACTGAGCACTACTCCCCACCGCCTCTTATCACACTTGTCCAGCCGTATCTAACCAAACCGAAGTCATTTCGCTGTTAAGAATTTGAAAACAATTCAGTTTGAGAACTGCTGCCAAAGCCTTAAGAACCAAAAGAAATTGATCAAAAAATTTAAAATTTTCTAAATAAATTTTTAAAATAAAATTATAAATTATTTATAAATAAATTATTTTTATTTTTAATTAAAAAATCATTGTGAATATAAATTTTAATATATATACAATTGTTGCGTGATTGTGCTTAATCAGAAAATATCAATCTATCCATACAATTTTAATCAATTTTTATTTGTTTATACTCATTTATTTACAAAAGTGATAAGCTCTGTCGTGTATGAAAAGTGTATAATTAAATTTTATTGCAATTTTTAAACAATTATCTTATTGCAATTTTTAATTATTACGAGTTAAAAAATTTTATTAGGAAAATTCCAAAAATGAGTGCTAAGCAAATAGCGCGTCGTCAAGCGATTCCAGTTCTGTACACCAGAGGAACTCATTACGACGTGGGCTTCGATATGGTATGTTATCTACTAATCCTTTAATTACATACTTTTCATTTATTTTATATTAAATTAATGTAAAATTATTTTAGTATAATGAATAATAATTAATCATTTTTTAATTTATTTAAAAACATTTATTTTCTCTTTCTTTTTCTAAAAATTTTATAGTCTATAACTATAATTTTTATGGTTTATTTTATAGTTTGTTTTTATCATACTACATATAAGATAAGGATAATAAATTTTTTTGTGTTCAAATAACAATATCTTACACCCAATTCCGTTATTCAAACTTAAAGTCAGATAACATGTAACTGTAATGAATAATCTTTGTACCTCATTCAAGTAGATTGTAATATCTACTTATACTAAAAACATTTAAAAACTTATCTAACCAATGTCATTATTTTTATAATTAATAATTAAATATAATAGTTGCAGTATTTCAGTACTAAAAGAATAGTTCCTTTGTTTTCATCCAACATTTTTATTATTACATTTTATGTTTATTGTTTCTTATAAAACTTTATTGGTGTACTATAACTGAACTCAATTTTGGAATTTACTCAAATCTACAATTATCTATATAACAGTCTAATAACACCAATATATTATATAAAGTTAATTAGTATTATTCTGTTGTTTTTATCCACTGCCTGTATTTATTCAACTACGATGAATCCATTTCCATTGGGTTGGTTTAGTCCACACTTTTACTAATTAAATGTCATCTAATAAAATAGCATAAACCCTAGTTCCTTTAAACGAAAAAAATCGAAGAATTCGAAGAAATCTTTTACCCAAAAACAGGATTTGAAATAAAAATCTTTCTAAAAACTATTCAGTTTAAACGCTCTCAATATATCCTATTTACTCAAATCTACAATTATCTATATAACAGTCTAATAACACCAATATATTATATAAAGTTAATTAGTATTATTCTGTTGTTTTTCTCCACTGCCTGTATTTATTCAACTACGATGAATCCAATTCCATTGGGTTGGTTTACTCCACACTTTTACTAATTAAATGTCATCTAATAAAATAGCAGAAATCCTAGTTCCTTTAAACGAAAAAAATCGAAGAATGCGAAGAAATCTTTTACCCAAAAACAGGATTTGAAATAAAAATCTTTCTAAAAACTATTCAGTTTAAACGCTCTCAATATATCATTTAAAATCAATCCTTTAAAAATCGCTTAATTAGGTCAATAACCCCGCATTCATGATACTTTTTAAGGAAACATTTTATAAAAAGAAAAATCATTCTTTCTCATTTCTCGTGATCCTTTCTATGTGGATTCTTGAAGATCTATTAAATTTTCTTTAACTCATCGGCGATTTTTCAGCTTCATACTAAACTTATAAACTTTACCTGAGTTTTTCAGTTGTTTCTATAATAGAATTCATTTATTAAATTATAAAATTTTAAGTTCTATCTTCCTCGACAAACCAAAATGACTAGTTCTAAAATAAGACTCATAATAAACAAATTTTTGTCTACTAAACAAACAAAAGTTATTACTTTTATCTGAAGCTGGATACTTTTTTCATTGGTAATAACGAAATAGAGATTATATATAGTTATTTTAATATAAAAATTTTTGTTCAGCTTCTGAAAAGTTTGAAGGATCCTGCAATCACTTTTCAGAACTTCCAAAAATCTTAATCTAAGACTAAACTTTCCAGCACTTCTAAAAGTCTTAATCTACGACTAGAATGTTTTACCTATTTTTTAATTATCTACATATTAACTACATTTGATATAAATTATTTATATAATATTGTAAAATGTTATCAGATCATAAATATTTAAACACTTTGTAGCTTCACAAAAAATGTTTACATTTGAAACTAATCATATTATCAATTTTATATAATCAATTATCACATTATTAAAAACAATTTAATGAACTTCTATATTCTTACTCATATATGAAAAAATAAAATTTATCTTATTTTTAATTATACTGATTTAAAAAAGATACAATTTTAATAAAAACAGTACGCTCAAAGTAATCAGTTTTTATTGATGACGAACCAAAAAAAAAACCTTTTTTAAACTATTTCACTATTTTATTTATCATCGAAACTTGTTTTAGATAAACAATTATATTTTTATAATTTTTCTAATTCATTGGAAATCTCTATTATGATACATTTTACTCTCTTCTCCAATAGAGTCCATTTAAACATTTCTTTTAAGCTCCAAGTGATGCTGAGTGCATCGTAAACTTGACTTTGTAAATTGTATCTTTTTTGCATATTTAAACAATAAATTATTATGTGGCATTTATTTTTTTTTTATTTTTTATTTACATTTATTTATCCAATTTTTTAGAAAATTTAAAATTTTATGTAAATGCACTACTTGTTTATATGTAAATATAAATAGAACTAGTCAATACACAAAAAATAATCATCCAAAGATTTTGAGAAAATTGTAATAAACCATTTTAAAATTAGTGCAGTAACGCTTATAAGGTTAATCTCTTTATCAGACCCTAACAGAGTAGCATCCAAATAAGTGACTTAGCTGAATATCTGATGGAGTCTAAACTCAAAGCACAGTCAGTAATTCCAACCTTTCTTCATTATAAGATTAAAAAAAAACTTATTACCTGTACTTATATAATATACTATCTATTATATATACTATATATTAATATGGTTTATTATTATATATAACTTTTAAGTAGCATCCAGTGATTAAAATATTAAATACAAACTATGCAATTATTACAGTAACAATTAACACTTTTTGCATAAATTATATGTCATTAAAGAACATTGGACTCATGACCTAATAATCTAATAGATATTATTATAATTATAGTAATTATCATTATTTCTAATTACTTTCAATGCAAAAATATGATTCTTTCAGGAATTTACCTATATTAATCAGAATAATATTAAAGTAGTTTCTAGTAATAATCATATTAATGCTACATCTAGGTATTTTTATTTTTCAAAACGTTCGCAAATCTTATGATATTCGTTTTTAGAATATGTACTTCGATGAGAAAATCTTTTCTTATAATTTGTTTCTATTTATAAAAATAAAAATTCTAAATAACTGCAAATATACACAAAATAACTTATTAATTTTTTTCTATACATAAAATTACATTCACATATAATTGATGTTTTTATTTAATCGTGAAAAAATTAATTAATGAATTATTTTTACAAATAATTGAAATTTTCACTTTAAATATAAAATAATTTTTTTTTATTGAAAACCAATACATCTGAGATATCTGTAATTCATTAAGAAGGTTTCCACTAATAATATTACAATAGTTTCCAAATGATAAAATTTATGGGTAAAGATAATGTGACGATTCTCTAATATAAATAATTAGCATTATGTGCGAAAAGTAATTACATTTTTCTGATTTTATTTAATTATATTGCAATTAGCTCATGTTTTATTTATGAAGAAACTATTTTTCATTTTAATCAATTGTTAAAAAAATAATTAATTAGCTTCAGTGTGTTTCTCTCACTCAAAATCAACTCTCACAATTCAACTATTCATGATTTGTTTAGAATATTTTTCATTAATTTAAATATTAATTAGTTTACTAACAATACTTTTTAGCATCACTCAAAAGTTTTAATTAATTTTTTTTTATATTTACTTAATCCGACTTAATTCTGAAAAAGTCTTTTTCGATAAGCTGAAAATCTGATAAACAAGTATGCTTTATGACAGACAACAAATCAGACAGATATATATAGCAGTCTTATCATGCTAATATCAATCAAATCAAATATGCATATGATCATACTGCTCGTACATATAGTTTATAGGTTGTTGACTTTTCCTATATGTTTTGGTTTTACCGAGTCATCAACTCATAAAATAATACTAAAAATCAGTTATATGCTATTTTATACACTTTTTAAATAATTACCAACCTATTTATGTAAACAGTATTGGAATAAGTGATAAACAAATTTAGTGTAAGTCTTGTATAAAGAAGAATAGAAATTAACAAGATACTAGACACCAAATTGAGTGGAGCACATAAAACATGGTACATCTTTTGCGAACCATATAGCTAATAAGATCTCTTCAAGCAAACCGACGTTCTGTCTTCTCAGAATGACTTACCTCATTAGTAACATAGACCACCGTGACCCATCAGAAAAACTGGCGGTTCCCTTGTGTTTTTTTATGAGAATGTGGGGAGCTGTCTATCCTGGTAATTATCTACTTTATCGTACCAACTTATTCGACAATTAGATTTTCCTCAAAAAAATTTAATGGTTGAGTCAGCCTAGTCCGTGCACAGATCTAAGTAAACGCAAAAAATATAGCTTAAATGAACCGTATACCAGATTTGGTAAAGTAAGTTTAACAAATAAACTTACTGGAAAATAACTTACATGTAAGTATCCCAAGAACAGCAACAGATCTTTAATTTGCAATGATCTATATAAAGTTTAGTATAACTATTAAGTTTATAAAATGAAGTTTACTCATATAACATTTGTAAAGCTAATACTTGATATAGCCAACTAGTTTCATCCATTCTGAACTGCTCGATTCTATAAAAGCGCCTATACACTATAAATTTAGAGACTATAAGAATAGTTTTCATGGACAAATTACAAAACACTACTCCACTCTACTCTACTTTTTGTAATCAAAAATCTTCGCAAAGATTATTCACAAATGGTATAAAGCACCGTAAATTCTAATGGTAAGGTCATCTAGCCCATATGAGTGAAAAGGACCCTACTCAGAAAACCTTCTTTAGCAGTTTTTATGGTAAATGACCCTGATGATGACCATTTTTGCGCTGGAGGAATTAAATCACTTTCATTGGGATTAGTGGAAAACTTCAATTTCAGAACCAAAGCTAATAATAATAACGCTTTTGAATGTACGATATTAAAAATAACATTTTATACATAATATACTATTATTGCACTAACATTAACAGAATGTTTGTATGTAATCTATTCATATTGCATACATATATTTTAGTTGAATTTCCT